TACAGTCAGGAATGAAGCAGGGAACGGTTACCACAGCAACAGAGGCTTAAATAAGGGAGTCAGGGCAGCAGGGACACACACACACACACACACACGCACACACACGCACACGCACACACACAGTGGAGATGTTTGTACATGCTGTGTGTCGAAGCAGAAACTCACATGGTCCACTGCAGCTTCTCGTTCTTGATGGAGCTGTACAGCGTCTGCAGACACACACACACAGACACACACAGACACACACAGACACACACACACACACACACACACACAGACACACACACACACACACACACACATGAAGAGCTCATATGTAATTCACAGTAATCTGATTACTTGATAGGACATTCAGTATTTAATCCACATTTTTCACGTGCTCAGACTAAAGATGGTCACATGGCCTAAAAGCCGGGTGCTGATTGGCTGTGTGGATTTAATGGCTCATCATTTGTAACGCAGACGAGTTTCGTTGGGCGATCAAACCTGTTTAAAGGGCCGTCCACACAGGAAACCACGCCATCACCTGAGACCGCCGCTGACAGCCTCATACGAGCACCTGCGAGCAAATAACCGCTGGTGACAGGAAGTGGGAGATTTTGATGCGAGCGACTGAAGCAGCTAGCAGTGAGAGCTGATTGACATGTGAGCCGCTGGTACTTAAATTAGCTAGTTGCCCAGGCAACCAGAGGCTGGCATGTGCAGTATGGGCCGCGAGCAACTTAGGAAGGAGCGGGTCACTTCCTGTGTGGAGGCGCTTTCCGGTCTCAGTTCACCCTGCGCCTGAAAACAGCTGGTATAGCCCCTCCCCCTTTAAGCCCCACTCCATACCGACAACCCCCTTTCTTCTGATTGGCCGGATTGTGGAAGCCTGCTGAGGGGCCTTTGTCCATTATTACAGAGATGTGAAGAAAACGTAAGTGTGCGTCTGACACGACAACAACGACAATAATAACAAAAACCAGCCAATGATATATGAAGAAACCGCTGATGTCATCACAAACATGTGATGTGAAGCGGTCGGCGCAGACGATTCATCGAGGTTTGTAAACGTGTCACGTCAGGAGAGGTTTTTAAACGGGTAACTTAGGCACAGGTGAAGGTTCACAGGTGAAGGTTCACAGGTGAAGGTTCACAGGTGAAGGTTCACAGGTGAAGGTTCACAGGTGTGTCTCCGGCTCTACCTTCTTCTTGCGGCTCTGCGGGTGCTGCTGCCCATCCTGGGTTTTTCCCAGCAGGTCGGGGAAGGCCAGCGGTTTGAGGGAGCGGGAGCGGGGGGTCCTGGGATACCTGAACGGGTCGTTGTCCCTCGAGTCCCGCCCGCTCCGGACCGAGCACAGCGAGCGCGAGCGCATGCGGCCCGTGGAGTGGATGCTGTTGACGCCGATCATCTGGGCGGTTTGAGTCGGGATCCAACAGATAAGAAAAGTCCAAACTTTTTATGTTTCCTGTACAGACGATCCTTGGGCCCGCGTTCGCCGCTTCCACCGAACGGTGCGGCGGATCTCGTCCAGCCCGTTGATGAGCGCCGGGCTGCGTCGCTTCAGACTCACGTCACGAGCTTCCAGACCGTAGACGAGTGCAGGAAGGAGCCGAGGAAGCGAGGAGGTGAGGGCGTGTAAGATAGAGACGGGCTAATGACGGCCACTGACGAGCGGCTGGATGGATGGCGCCTCCGCGAGCTCGGCCTGCTGCATTATGGATCCGGCTCTATTCATTATGCATAACAACACAGCAGCTCTTCATCAGCCTCACGGTCCTGCTGGCTGCCGGAGCCTCGCTCAGGTGTTCAGAGCCGAAAGCACTAAAGCAGGACAAGAAACAGAAATCTGTGGACTCCTTTGTGAACGCACTGAATCTGCAGTTACGAGTCAAACGTGCGATAGTTTAGTCCCAGCTGTGATTGGATGACTGATCACTCAAAATGTTTCATTCTTCCTGTTTTAAATCAAACATTAATGTTGGCGTTAAGGCTAAAATGAGCCTTTTTGTGCATGAACTCATATTTCTGTTTAGCTAAAATCCTTTTATTTTGAAAATAAATCACATTTGTGCCGATGTCTGATAAACTATTTCATAAATAACTGTTTACAATTAGCTTTAATATGTTTGGACTGCAATTCGTTCAAAGCAGAAAATTTTAGCTGCAGAAATGATTCATACGATCAACTCGACATCAAACGTTTGACGTTTTCTACAAATTAATATTTTTTTAAAGGTTTTACAGTTTTTATACATTTGATCAAATTCAAAATCAATTAAAACTGAAAATTTGAGACTTTAAAGTTTCTGTCAGCCGTCGACACGTCCGCCTCCAAACACGCCTCCAAACACGCCTCCAAACACGCCTCCAAACACGCACACTCCAGACTGTCTGACAGAGTGTGTGTGTGCGTGTGTGTGCGTGTGTGTGCGCGTGTGTGTGCGTGTGTGTGTGTGCGTGTGTGTGTCTAATCCATCAGCGATTCAGAGGCAGTGACATGAAAACCATCCGAACCGCAGCTCCGAGCTCGTCCTGGATTTTGGGGGTCTGTGCTGCTGTTGACCTCCTGATGCAGCGGCCGTGGAGGTGCTGTTAGCGGAGGTGCTGTTAGCGGAGGTGCTGTTAGCAGAGGAGAATCCCTGGACTGCAAATAAAGCTGCGTGACGGAGGAGAGGCATCAGCTCGCTCTCACATCCAAAAAAGAAAAGAGGAAAAGCAGGGAGGCTGGGCGAGCGAGCACACCCACACAGGCAGACAGGGAGAGAGAGAGAGCACCCCCAAAACTGACGTCAGCTTCCTCCAGCTCCCTGATGGAGGACGGACGGACGGACGGACGGAGGGCGGAGGTGGAGGCACAGGAGAGGCTAACGAGGAGAAAAAAAGGAGAGAAAGGTTCTCCTGTTGCACTCTGATGAGGAGAGAATCCCTCCTTCCTCCTCCTCACATCTCTCTTGATCTCTTCGTCCTCCAACTTCACTCCCACTCTTCTCCTCCTCCTCATTCACTTGATTTCCTCCTGCAGGAGAATCCCTCAGTCAGGTCAGGTGAGCTCACTCCTCCTCTTCTTCGTCTTCTCTTCCTCCTCCCCACTGAGACACTGAACTGTTGAAGGCTGTTTGCTCGCTCTCCCTCCTCCTCCTCTGTCTCCCTCTCTCTTTTTTCCCTCGCTCTCGCAATGCGCATTTTCCCTCAGCTGCAGCAGCCAATCGGAGGCCAGGGATGGGAGCTTCAGCCCGCCTTCTGTCCTCCTTGGAGCTGTCAGTCACGGTGGGTTCACAGAGCTGAATGTAAATGCAGCTGAGAGACGATCAGCAACAAAAACTCTAATTCAGCTGAACGTGAAAAATATGACAGCGAGCCGACGACGTGTGAGCGAAGACACCAATCACATTCACGCCCCAATGAAATCAATAATCAATACAGAATCAGTTTTATCTCAACTTCAGTAAAAGCACACTCAGGACCTGAATGTTGAACTGTGGAAACCGTTTTCACAGCGCCGTGATGAAGAGAGGCAGCTTCCTCCACTCGAGCCTAAAGCAAGCCCGTTAGCATCAGCGCTTCTCTGACCTTCACTGTGCCGCCGTCCCAAGGAGTGAGAGGCCAGGAGACCACAAAGAGACGCAGAGCGACCACAAAGAGACGCAGA